GATTATTAACCTTCGATATGACCCGGATCGAATGAAATAGATCCACCAAATTGACTAAAGCTATTAAAATACATTACTCGTCAGTTTTGCGCGCAAATAATAAAAATAAAAGATGTTTATTGATTTTCAATATTTGCATGTTTAAAAGGAACAGAAAACATTTATTATATTCATATATAGATACTATAAGTGACTCACCCTCGCTTTGCTCGGCTTCGTCTCTAGGTAGGTACTTTATATCGCCTTACCACTACATGAGTAAAGCTACGAAAAAAATTAGTTGAAAATATAAAAAAAAATCAATAAATAAAACTTGTATAACCTTTTTGGGATTTTTCACGGACTTATTTTGATTTTTGATTTACTACGTTTCGAATGCTTTATAAAAATCATGGCCACAGGAGAGACTAAGGTTTTGTATCAAAAGTTAGTTTTTACAGATAATATCTGTCTACGAAAAATCCGAAAAGGTAGTTTTATTTAAAATGTGACATATTCATGTAAATAAATCTAAGAAAATATAATATTCATAAGGATTCATTTAAAAATATTTTCTCATTGACATTGAAAGAAATGAACTTGAACTTTACACTTACAGGAAATCTCTTCCATACAAAATCGCTTAACCGGTTTTCGAGTGTAAAATTATTACTATGCGGATAAACTGCCACGTTAGAGTTATATTATACAGCTTTTAGTTTTGTTCTTTCTCTGAGGTCAATAAAGTTTTGTCATTGTGAAAACTAGTTACGTTTTGGAACTTTTCTTAATTATGATAAGTATATTACAAGTATGTAATAATACTATTTATAAATGTAATCAGATAAGTTTTGATTTTAATTAATTATTTGCATATTTATTAAGAAAATGCTTGTATTTTACTGTATCTTTTAAATTATATATGAATAAGATTAAATATATTATTTTTAAATATCAAAATTTTTTTTATAATTAAAATTAATGTTTAAAAAAAGTTGTGTCATTAATGGAAGCTTTAAAGTCAAAAATACTAATAAATAATACATTTTTGTTCTATATATGAAATAAAACTAAAACCACAAAAGAAATTCCAAATTAAATCTCATTTTAAGTTATTTTTATACAGTAAAAACTTTTTCTAGTTTACTTTCTCTTCTATCAAGATTTTTTTTTAATTTCAATGACATTTGTTGTGAAATTTCAAAATGTCACTAAATAGCTAAATTACCGTGAATCCAGTCATCTCTTTAGGTCAAGAGCATATCCTGTAAGAATTCTTTTTTAACATGTAAGTACTTTTAACGTTTACTAAAAATAATGACAATGACCTACAAAATATAGATAAATGATTTATATGACCCCATCTCATGGTACACTGGCATGATGTCTAACTTACACTCTTTGTACTAAGTCACAAGTTTGATTCTCCGTACCATTAAAAAATAATATTTAATAAAAAAAAGTATTGTGAACTGTATATTGAAGAATCCCTCTCTAGGTTTGTTTTACATCTTTTTAACAAAAAAAATATTCGTGCAGATAATGAATAAGAAAGTGATTATTGTGAATGTTAACAAATTTAATAAAGTCATATAAATCTAAAAGAACTGATATATAAATGTTAAGAGCTTAGTTTCTCACGTAGCTGACCTGTCAGCGAGCTTAGATTTGAAAAGCTTATATAGCATAAATTAGCTTGATAAGCTTTTACACAAAAGACAGACAAAAGCTTTTCATTTTGAAAAGTACCTTTTAAAAAAACAGTCGTATAGTAAGGACCAAATACAAGGAATTATTCTACATCGATTATAATCTATACATATAATAAAATTGTAACTAAGCCGAATCTTTGCATTAAATATTTTTTTTGGAAAATCTTATTGAAATATACATTATTATCAATACAGAGGCCAAATCTATAGTTTTTAGGATTTTTGTTTGTCTGTCTGCGTGTGAACGCATCACGGTAAAGCCATTGGACAGATTTTGATAAAATTTGGTATGATGATAGCTGGTCATCCGGGTCAACATATAGGATACATTTCTGAGAAATTTATACTAAACGTTAAAACGTAAGTTAAGGACGAACCCGAGCGGAGCGAAGGTGAGTTGCTAGTTTGTAATAATTGATACAAAGGTCCAAAGGCTTTCAATTCTGGTAATAACATACTTATACATATCTCAAGGGTGCTTTAATAAATTAAGAAAAATTGACTTCACAGAGTCATTAATTCTAAGGTTATTTTGAAGTCGTTGGTTTCTGGTGATTTTTAGTAAAAAATTAACTATTATGTACGAGTACATACTATGCACATATATCTAAAAAAAATCTAGACTGGTGTAAACTAGACTTAGAAATTTTATATAGAACTAGCAGAACCCGCGGTTTCGCACGCGCTAAAACTCCAACTATCTCCACATAAAAAATACGTCAATCTGTAACTCTATTTCGACATGAAAGATGGACAGACAGACAAACAAACAAACACACACACACACTTTCACATTTACAATATTAGTATGGATAGATGACGTAAGTGAAACAAAGATACGAATAGGCAAGAATTGTAATGAAAATTGTATGTCCGCTTTTAAATACACATATTTTAGAAGATATCAAATTATGTATTAATAAATGTAACTCTTTTATAGGTATTTTTCAATTGCTATACAATATACATATAATAAAATTCTAACTAAGCCGAATTTGTACATTAAATATTTTTTGGAAAATCTTATTGAAATAGTCATTATTATCGATACAGAGGCCGAATCTATAGTTTTTAGAATTTTTGTCTGTCTGTCTGTCACCGCATCACGGAAAAACCACTGAAGGGATTTTGATGAAATTTTGTATGGTGATAGCTGGTTATCCGGGTCAATATATAGAATACTTTGTACCGCGGGAAAATATCTTATTTCTGAGAAAAAATACAAAAACTGCAAAGTAAGAGTATACTAATATGTAAAACCTAAGAATTTGGTTTTTTGTCATCTGAAGGCGGGCGGGGCCGCGGAAAATGCTAGTCTATCTAAATAATTGAATATTTTAAAATGTTAAAATCATAAAAATTAAATACGTGATCAACAATATATTTTTATCTCTAATAAAATCTGCTTGTAATATCCCTAAAAATGTATTATTATTATATCTATATATTGTTTAACCTTGATCTATAACAATAAAAAAACAATAAAAGTCTTTAATTTTATTAAAAAAATCATATGATTTTTGATTTATTGTCTGTGTTGATATCAGTCATTTTGTTGCTAACTATTGCATCAATGCTCGCGGGTTCGATTCTCGTACTAGGAAATTTAATATAGAATTATTATTTATTTGAATTTATAGCATTGTGTTTGGACTTTAAGCAGACTAAGTAACTAGTCTTAAAACTCAGTCTAAACTAGAAAATCTTCGTGCATGCGGCTTGAGAGAGTAGTACGGATGTTATAAGAGCAGCTCCTGTGAGGCTCTACCTTAAAACTTACGACCCTAATATCGAGATAAATAAAAGGAATATATATTGTAAGGTAATTTTTTTTTAACTATAGTTAAAAAAAAATATTGTAAGGTACTTTGGTGCCATTTTTCAATTTTTTGAATTCATTTTAGTTAATTGTGGGTAGGCTGTCTGTAACAACTATATAATACCTTAGAGACATCTAACACCTCAGTCTCTCCTGTGGCGATGATTGCTGTAAAGCATTCGAAACGTCGGGAACCAAAAATCAAAATAAATTCTCGAATAAATCCGAAAAAAAATAGTTTTATTAAAAATGTACGTATATTTTTCGCTGAAATAGAACACAAAAGACAGAACCCAGCATTTTGATTATGTTCTTTGAAGAATGTTCCACGTAAAAAGTAAAGCATACAATCAACTATACAACATGCTATGATAAAAACCGAACATTTTTTGTCCTATCTAAGATACCTTAACGTATTTTAAGGCAATATCATCTTGAACTTGTCTGAATAATTTTCATAACAAGTTCATTGGTAGTCCTGTCAGTTCAGAGAAATAATTGACTTCACAATGTGATGCTATGGTAATTGACAGCTTTGCTTCGTTCATATGCGCAGTGGAAGGAAAATAATAATTGCTAGTGCTTCAGTGGTTAAATTTCGACTATAATCTTTATTGGTTTCAGGGATAACATATATGAATAAAATTTAAATTTACCTATCTATAAAAAAAACTGTTTCCAATTTTTGTTTGTTGATAACACTATGTCTCGTTAATAGTTTTAAAAAAACGGTTGGTAAACAGAGGAGAATAAGGTACTAAGCTGTTTCGTCTTTGCCTGTTTATATGTGTTTTTTTTTATATTCTAGAATATGCCAAAAAGATTTTCAATTTGTTATGGAGTTTAGCCCACCACGCTTCTACTAGAGGTTGAGTAACTAACTTATAGTTAATAATACATTTAAATACTTTCATTTTTTATTTTAATTCATGATTGATTATAATAAAATATTAATACTTATCACGTTCTAAGACGTTTTTAAAAATATCAGTTTAATGACAAGTATGTGTCATACTATATGTGCATAGTCAATATGTCGTAAAGCATATTTTTTATTAAAATATATAATTAAGCACTCGAGGTCGTTTTAGTAATTAATGATCTGGCCTTATCATTCATATTGTAATTTTTTTTTTAAATATATTAAACTCCTATATTTGATGAACTATATACTCGTATATAATTGCTTTAATATATCCAAAAATTTATTTATTTAGTGTTGCATAATTATTTGAATATAACATATTCATATTATTATCATTAATTAAATAAACGAAGTGCCTCACAAAACTGAAAATCTATAATAAAAAATATTCAATGTATCAATCAACCTATGAAAAAAATTAAATATTGCGCAGCATCTAATAAGGGTTTATATAATAAACAAATAATACAAAATCTGTTTACCCTCAAAGTATTTTGACTCTAATTTTCCTAAAGCGTTTCCTTAAAAATCAAATTAAATAATTTATAAAAATAAATGTACTTACAGAAATCGCCACGAAAGTTCCAAAACGAAGCATTTTTCTTAATTTCTCGATATTCGTCACACAAGACTACACAAGTCAAAATAACATTGACTGATACAAGCGCATCATCTATATACAGCCTCCAATGACGTCAGGACCCCCCTCTCCCCCTCAAAACCCGTTCAGGTGCTCATCTTCATGAGTTTTGACCTTTCCACGGCATCCATTGAAAAGTTTGTATACACGTTCCAGTTCATATAGACGATATGCATCAATGGATCAAAATATCCAATGTACTAGAATTTACGTAATGCATACTGTCGTTGGTTATTACGGCAGTGTTAATTAGTCTAGTATTTATTTATTGAGGCCTAACGACAGTGCTATGATTTTTCAAAGTCATACCGTCGAGTTTGCACGTATATTGAAAAAATGCCTCGTGGTATTCTGTACTCCTTTGTATAGGTTATATTTGACGCCAGTGTATGCCTGGGCACAGACAAACAAACAAATAACCATTTAATAAACTGTTCATTACATTTCTGTTAATCTATTCGAACGATTTTGTAAAAGACATTAATATATTTTTATATTAAATTTTTAATTAATTTTTTTTATAATTATATTACACTTAGATTTAACGTTTAGTATAGATTTCTCAGAGATGAGATATTTTTCCGCAGTAAAAAGTATCCTATATGTTGACCTGGCTAACCAGCTATCATCATACCAAATTTCATCGAAATCTGTCCAGTGGTTTTCTAATGATGCGGTCACAGACAGACAGACATACAGACTTCGGCCTCTATATCAACAATAATGACTATTTCAATAAAATTTTCCAAAAAATATTTAATGAACAGATTCGACTCAGTTAGAATTTTATTATATGTATAGATGGATCTGTATTCTGTATTAATTTAAGATTTTCCATAAAATGGTATAATTTGTGTGTATAATCACGGCATATTACAAATGTAACTTTATGAAATTTTAAATACGTTCCCGTTTAGACTTTTATGACGATAAAAATCGTAACTCTTGCATAAGTTGCAAATGTCTAAAGTGATTTGTTTGGATATGTTTTATATTTTCGTTATAAAATACTAAGGATTTATCCACGCTTCGGCTAAAATTAAAATATGACAAACTCTTTTTATCTCATATTTTCCTATCTTTGCCAATTGCCCATTTTAAGAAGAAAGAAGAAAGAGAGTATTTGAATGTGTTTCTTTGCACATAGTTTGAGTTTCGAAGCCTAGCACGGGGTTTAATTAAAAATAAAAAATAAAAACAAGTCCTTCTGAGCTTTTTCTGTCGGTTAGCCAATCTGTTAACTTTCAGTAAATAAATGTAAGCTTTTTAATGCATTTAAACACTGATAGATAATTTTACTATCTAAATTTGCTTTGTGAAACTCTATAATATCTAGCGTCCATTGGTTTGCTATGTACATCGCTACGAGGCTTGTGTTATGGATACCAGATAGTTGATACACTATACATAAATAACTTTAAATACATACATATTATAAATATAAACACCCATGACTGAAGTACAAGCATTCGTGCTCATCACACAAGTGAATGCTTCCAACGGGACTCGAACCCCCGATCGCTGGCACCACAAGTAGGGTCGCTACAAACTGAGCAAAACATGTCGTCAAGACAACAAATCAACAAATGTACGTCACATCGCGATTATTCTCTCGACATGAACTCAAATTGCTACCCTGTCTCTAGGTAACCTATTATAACCGGATATATGCATAGACTTTGCCAGATGACTTAATATTGTGCTGAAGAATTAAATAGAACCAGTACTTTTATAGTTTTGAGCTCCCAAATGGATAGACAGATAGATTTTGAATTCTATATAAATAAAAATTAATCACAAAATGTATGTACGATCGACTGCACCAAATTGTATAATTCTTTTTTTTAGTGTTTTTTATTGTCAGGACAAGTTTTGTATAGAAGAAAATTAAAAGATTTTTGTACGAAAATAAGAGTTTTTTAAATCTCATGATATGAAAATTGTAAGAGTGAAATAGTTTTTATCCCGGAAATCATCCCTTAAAGGGGTAAGAATGGGGATGAAAGTTTGTATGGGGAAGCAATTTAGGGACGAACCCGAGCGAAGCGAGGTTGTTTATAGCGCTAGTTTATAGTATGTAGGAATAAGAGAGGACGTGGGTACCTACTTACTGTCGTCTGAACTATGATTATTATGGGAAATATTTTATTTAGTTAATTTAATGTCTGAGTTGGAATTTGCTAAGAAAGAATACTACAACTAGCAAATAATCTTTGTTTTAATAGATATACATTTTTTGTCGTATTTATGTATGTATTTTGGTGATTTATTAAAACGATCACAATAATTTCTTCTACAAACAGATGAACTTAGAACATTTTTTATACTATTAAGGAACTTTTACGATGTTATTGCCATTGTGAACCCTTGTCACTGCCTAAAATTAATATTTGTAAAGTTTATTTGTCTTGTTTAGACATAGAATTTGGAAATTATTAAACGATAAATATTTATTTAGTATTCACGTTCCATTCCGTGAAGATTTTAATTGTATTCTTTGCAAGTTTACGTGGTATCAGATATGTCTAACTTTGATATATAAAGTTTTATCAAAACGCGTCTAATGATTATATAATATATACATAAACAATTATAGGAAAATATAGATGTAAGTTTGTGTTAAATAATGTTATTTTATAATACGTGTGAATGAATAGTCACTTCCGTTACTTCCCGGTACAATTTCCGCTACATTTATAGCATAAAAATTAACACTAAATACGAGTATTTATCATAATGTGTGTTTGAGACTTAGTACAATTACAAATAACTACCCCATATATAGGTATAATAGTCAGCAGTCAGGCATTGAACTGTCTCGGTGGTGTAGTGGCTAGCATGTACGACTTCGCATCCGGAGTTACTGGGTTCGAATTTCGGGTCGGGCCTTAGTTGTTGAGTCTTTCAGAAAGTTCTAGCAACGACAGACCGGAGTTGTTAAATTGTCGATGTTTCAGCCCCGAGCCTCAGAGAGCACGTAAAGTTATCGATCCTGCGTCTGATATCTCATCAGTCGTGTTGAATTAACGTTCCATCAGAATTTGAGTTTGCACATACCCTTGTGCACTATGTCTCCTGCCCAGTTAGATAATCAGTGTTTATTTCGAGATACTAAATTTCTTTTAAAAAATGTCTTTATTAAATAAAACTATCTTTTCGGATTATTTCGCGAATTTATTTTGATTTTTGATATAAATTTTAATTATAATTTTTATAATTAATTTTCCATATTCAATTACAATTAAAATTATAAAAATGTTTAAAGTTAAAAAATATTGTAATGTAAGTGCAATTTTCATTTTGTTAATTGTGGGTAGGCTGTCTGTAACAACTATACCTTCAAGACATGTAACACCTCAGTCTCTCCCGTGACCATGGATGCTGTAAAGCATTCGAAACGTCGGGAACCAAAAATCATAATAAATCCGCGAAATAATCCGAAAAGATAGTTTTATTTAATAATGTCAAACATTCGTGTAAATCTAAGAAAGTATTATAAAAAATGTCTGTTTGACTACCTTATACTTTGTATCCGCGCAAAAGGATTCATCAGGACTTTCACGCATTCGAGATAGCGAGATAAGGATTGGAATTAAACGGACTAAACGGTTTTAACTAAACTTCTCTTGGCGGGTGTTTGGGGATAGAGGTGTCGTAGATAAAAATGAAATAAGTTACGCAATTTCTACTGAATTCCAGTCGATCCGTGTTGGATGTCGAATCTTAATCTCATCTTATTAAGTTACTGATTAATATTTATATAATTTAAGTACGTATGGTACAGATAGTATATTCAATTCATTTTACTTCATTAGATAATTTATAGGAAGACTAGCATTGCCCGCGGCTCCGCCCGCGTTCTGATGACCAAAAACCAAATTCTTAGGTTTTACATTATTTTACAATAGTATGTATACTCTTACATTGCAGTTTTTGTATTTTTTCTCAGAAATGAGATATTTTCCCGCGATAAAAAGTGTCCTACTTATATGTTGACCCGGATAACAAAATATATAATATTGAGGACAGTTGAAGTTATCTTTTACATTTCTGACATTGAAAATAGACAAATTAATTATACAATTAATTGTATAATTAAAAAAATAATTTGTTTTTCTGTATATTATATTACTTCCTAACAAATAAGTAAATAATTATCCGTATTATTTATATTTATATATTTATATTTTATATGTTAATATTATAAAGTTAAAATTTGTGAGTATGTATGGTTGTTTGTTACTCTTTCACGCCAGAATGACTGAACGGATTTGGATGAAATTTGGCACAGAGATAGATTATAGCCTGGAATAACACATAGGCACTTTTTATCCCGGAAAAATGTATGGTTCCCGTGGGATAGGTTTGTTTTTGTTTTTCCTAGAGGCGAACTCGAGCGAAGCGAGCATGAGAAGCTAGTATTTACATATATCTCTTAGAAACCCCATTTCATTTCTAGTTAATAAAATATATCCTTTCAAAATGACGTCTATTTTGGGAATAGATTATTCTGTCTCTGTAAGTCTAACAGCGTTAAAGAAGGACAAAACAACAAATAAAAAAAACGATTCCGGCTACGGCGGCCAATCTCATTGAGACTAGCCAACTGCGCAGGAGATATTATAGTGCACAAGTGTACGCGCAGACACAAGGGCACTCTCTATTCCTGTCACTCTCATACTCCGGTGGGACGACTACTCGCCACGACCAGTGAGAGTTAAGGCGCAGGACCGACGGCTTTGCGTGCTCTCCGAAGCACGGAGGTGAAACACCGCCAACTTCCCAACTCCGGGCTGTTACTGAGACTTACTATACAGGAAGACTCAATAACTAAACTTGGCCCGACCCGGGACTCGAACCCAGGACCTCCGAGTGTGCAGCCGTACATGCTAGCCACTACACCACCGAGGCAGTTGAATTTTGTTAAAACTATCGAAGAAAAAAGAAATATCGAAACA